CCGTTCTTGGGGTGCCGGGACGCGGCGCTCAGAGGTCCGGAGGTTTCTCGTGTCACCGGTGCAAGGAGCGGTCGGGGGCCGCCTGTGGAAGCTCTGGGTGGGCAGCACCGGGCACCGGGATGGTTCATCCGGGGCTGACACTTCCTCCATCGGAAGAGAAGCGGTGTCAGCGCGGAGCTGGAACTCCGGCGGGCAGCGGGGGCCAGCGAGGCTCTGCGGAGATGCCGGGGTTGGCACCCAGGGCAGAGCCTCTGCCGCCAGCCCGGGTGTCCAGCACCGTCCTGCTCGCACCTGTGTCTCCATCCTGGGCTCTGCTGCTTCCTCCGGTGCCGTTTTCACAGCCCCTTTTATTGGCAAATTTTATTTTCCCTGCTCTCCATACAGAGAAACTGAGGCCGGAGGCAAAGCCCCGGGCCCGCAGTTGAGGAGAGGAGGCCACCTCTGGATGCAGCAGTGGTTTTCGTGCGGTGAGGAAGAGGAGGAGGGTCTACCCCAGCCCCCAGCGGCACCTCGAGCCACTCACGTGGAGACAAAGCATGTACTGGGAGGCTGGTGGGACACCGGAGCAGCGCTGCTCGCCTCACCTGACGCCGTCATGGGAGCGTGGAGATGGCTGAGACAGCGCAGTCGGGAGGGATTAACATCAGCCGGCTGCTGGGAGCCGCCGGGAAGGCTCCTGCGGGCTGGCCTGGCTCCGGCTGGGGAGAGCAGGCACCCACTCGACTTGAAAAACTGCCTGGGAGAGAGGGGCCCCCTCCCCTTTCCTTTCCTGCAGCCGGCCCTGGGGAGGCGAGCTCGGGGCGCTGGGTGGCTCTGGAGCAGGGATCGCTCCCGCCCTTCCTCAGCCATCGCCAGCTCCTTTTGCTGCTTCTCAGCAGCTTTTGAAAGCAGAGAAGAGAAAAAAGAAAAGGCTTGAAAAGCACTTTGAAAAGCAGAGCAGGGAGAAGTTCCCGGCAGCCCCATCCCCTCCTGCTGCTGCCAGCTCCTGCCAGCTTTGTCTGCCGAGGCTGCCGAGCCAGCGGGGAGCTCTCCCTCAGCCCCCCCGTGCTGGGGATCACTGTCCGGACACCCCAGGGTGCCAGAACAAAGCACTGTCCCCACAGCTCCCCCCCAAAATCCCTCCAGCCCCGGGGCCCAGCGCCAGAAACCTCGGCAGTGACCCCACAGACACCCCCCAGAGCCAGGGGGTTCAGCCCCTTCCCCAGAGCGCTCAGCAGGTACCCAGAGACCCCCGGCAGGACGCTCTGCCCCCTCCCCGCTGGCACCTTGGCCAGGTGGGCACCACCACAAGCCTTGGGCAGGTTCTCCGGGCAGCCTCTCCCAGCCGGAACCCTCTCCTGGCCGGCAGTGCCCGGGAATGGCTCCCCCAGCCCTCTGCCCCCCAGGAAACCATCACCTGCGTGTGCTGCAGCCACCCCAGCCTCCCCCAGGACAGCTGAATTTCCAACCTTCAACCGGTTGATATTTAAACTCCCTTCCAACCCAAAGTATTCCGTGATTCCCTGATCCCACCTGGAGTGTGGCTTCTGCATGGGAAGCCCCGGCCCTGGCCCAGGGACCCCAGAGGGAGGGACAGGGCGCACAGAGCCGGCTCCGTCCTCTCCGCCGCTCTCCTCTCCTGCCACCCCCGGCGCGGAGCAGCCCCCGGGGCACCGGGGCTCTGAGGATGCGCCGAGCCCCGTCTGGCCCCTGGCACGGCAGCAGGGGCTGTCCCTGTCCCCAAGGCCCAGGGAAAGGTGGGGACGTGACACACTTGGCTCTGTCCCAGGAGCTGGCAGGGAACCGGAGATATCTGGAGGACAGGGAGAGCCCAGGCTGCGGGGCTGCTTCTAAAATAAATAAATTAAACAAATCACAGATTTCGGGTCAGCTTTGTCTGTCACAAAGCCTCATTTTGGGCACATCAGCATCTCCCCATCACGCCTGGAGCGGGGAGCAGCTCCTGCCCCGATGCTGCCCCATCCACCCATCAGCATCTGGGGGTGTCTGACATCCCCCGTGCCCCCCTTCGGCTCTCCCAGCCCTGACAGCCAGCGCTGCTCTGCCCTTGGGAAAACCGCGAGCCAGGGAGAAACGTCGAGGCCGATTTGGTCCTCGGGGAGCGATCGGTGCTGACAGCTCGCCCTGCAGAGCACCGCGAGTGGGAAGGGGCAGCCCTCACCTGCCTGGAGGGATGCTGGGGAGGGAGTTCGGGGCAGAGCCGGTGGAAAGCGGAGCTGGGAGAGAGGTGGCCGGGCTCAGCCTCTATCCCTGCCGTGGTGGGATGTGGCATTTCCCGCTGCATCCCTCTCCTCAGCCGTGGGAAACCACCGCTCCTCCCGCCTCCGGCACCGCCACAGCGGCGGCGTCACCTCACGGCTCACCTGCCGCAGGTGTGGCTGCACCCTCCGGCTCCCCCGGGCAGCCGGGGACGGGCCGGGTCAGGGCAGGTGAGCGGGGCCTGGGCTCTGCTTTGTCCCAGCGCTCCAATCCCTCGCGGATGGGATCCGGGACCCGCATCCCAGGGTGGGAGATGTGTCTGGGGAGCTCGGTGCTCCCTGCTCGAGGGGCTGGCACAGCCCTCACCCAGGGACACCGCGAGCATCCCTGGCACAGGGAATGTCCCTTGCACGGTGGCAGCCCTCGCCCAAGGAGCGTTCCTCGCACTGGGAACTCAGCTGTGCTGCTCGGCTCCCCAGACCTGCTCTGCCCCACGGCTCCGTGTCCCAGCCCCGCTGGGAGGAAGGTCCCTCTTGCACAAGCCGGGACGCCTGGGGCTGGAGCTGGGCTGTGCACGAGCAGCGGGATCTGCCCAGCCAGGCACAGAATCCCCCCTGTCCCACGCCACTGTCCCCACGAGTGTCGGGGCTCCCCGCTCTGCCTGGGCTGGGGGGACGGGCACCCCTGGGTGCTGCGCTGCCCCCAGGCAGGTCAGAGGAGTCACCTCAGCGGTGCCTGCTGCTCTGGGGACACCGTGAGCCAGCGGGGGACAGGCGGTGCCTGTGGCCCAGCAGCAAGGCCACCACCACAGCCCAGTTCTCCCAGTCCAAGGGCAAGCTGCTCACCGGGTGAGCGAGCCCCAAGCTCACAGCGCTCCCCCTGCCCCTCCCCAGG